CTAATGTAGAAATTAAAACATAATAGGAAATACAAACAGATGGATTTGCTTTATGAAAGGAAATTTTGTTGAATGATTATTACAATTTGGTTTAAATGTTGAATGTTGCACTCGTACATGTTGCATTGCTCTGCTCTTCTTTAAATAAATCAAACCTCAGTTGTGTGCTGTTTACACTGTCTCTGATTCATGGCACGTGTTTTAATAAATCAGACTTTTGCATCTTCAGTTTCTCATCAATTCCAAGTCATGAAAATAATAAAAGCAACATTTACAGCTGCAGCGTGCACTAAATATTTTCTTACTTTTCTTATTTCTGTTTTTGTCTAACCACAGTTTATCTCATGCATTGATGTGTGTATTGAGCATGCAAGATCACCAGCTTGACCACAAACAGTTTTAGGACATTCAGTCTGTTGCATGCCTGAATAAAAACACTTGTGGTTTGTGTTCTCGCCTAGCTTTTCACAGCAACTGCAACATCACTGCACCAGGAGCGTCAGTAAAGACCAAGAAGAAGAAGAAGAAACACAGCACTGAGCCTGAAAGCTGATGTACTGTAGGCTGCAAGCAGAATCCTTTATGACCCAGAGATAATTTAATATGAAAAATGTATATCAATATAATAAATGAATCATATTATTAATCATATTATTCATTTTATAAATAATTTTTAACTACATTCAAAAATAGAAACCTGTTTACCTTTAATATGTTTACTTTAATTAACTTTGATATATTTTTACTACTGTAAACTGGTGTATAAAATCAGGCCGCTTCAATGCAGACTTTGCACCCTTAACAGAAGTTCAGAAGCTCAAATCACATCAAATCATCAAACGTAATGACAAACGAGAGATGTTTTTCTGAATAAAATACAATCTTTTTTTGTTTTAATATAAATGAACAAGGCTAGATAGGTTAGGAAAATTCTAGCAAACGTATAAGCTAATTGTCATTACAGACCTTGTGATAGTAATTTAGCTTATTGAAAGCTGTATATTAGTGATGAAAACAGCTATTTAGATTCATACAAACAGAAATAATGTATTTATAAACTTGCACCTTTCTGCTGTGGACGCCATCTTGTGGTCAGACGCGGGAACTCATTCGGCAGGTGAACTTTTGTGCTTTCTAGCCGTTGAGTGAACACAAAGTCCCTTAAAAAGCCTTCACATACATCCAAAAATAACGAAAACATGAATAAAACTTAATAATATTAAATCTGAAAACAAGAGCCAATGAAAAGTACATAAATATGACTGAACCATGTAGCCTACCAGATGATGATACAAACGGCCATGTGATCTGAAATCGTGCGTAGACCATAGACTGTAAAATATAGGCATAGACATAGAAATTGTGAACGATTTAATTTACTTTCTATTATTTACAATAATAAACTTTTTTTTAACTTATATTCCTAATATCTACGTGAGCAGTTAGCACTGTACGTGTAATTAAACAGCATGCACTTACATTGCTTGGGCCACTAATAGAAAATATATGAGTTAATTTTATTATTTTAATTTAATTAATTCCTAAATAGCTGTACATTTTACAAAGTCAAACCTTGTCAAACCAATCTTGCTCATTTAGCATTATTATTACAGTTTCGTGAATTATAAATTAATTGATTTAAACTTCATTATTATTATTATTATAATTATTATTATTTTAACTATGTTTATTATTATTATTAATTATTTATTATTTATATGTTGAGATGAGATGAATCGTTTACTCACGTGATTCAGATTGGCGATTCAAATTGTGGTTGCTATAGCAACGCGTGTTATGATTTGACTCCATATATAAACACCGAGACTCGCCGCTATCTGTTGATTGAGGAGAGGCGAATTTCTGAGACATTTGCTGAGGATTACTGTGCTGATACTGCGATTCTTCAAGGAGACCAGAGAATTTCTGACAGAAGACTTTTATTTTACAAGGAGATCGACGCTCAGAGCTGAAATTATTCCTTTTGACACGTTTTGTTGCTCTTTTGTTGTGTTTATTTTGATTTTGATCTTGTTTTTATTGACATTTTTATTGATATTTGATCTTTGTTCTTGTTTTCAGGTTTGCTGGAGTTTGGAGGAGTTTGTCAGATGGGTGAAAACCGCAGTGAGTGTTTTAGTTTTTATTCGTTTATGATCAATCATGATATGATGTTGTGTAATGTTTGGGGAAATGTGATGTAAATAAACTGGTACAAATGAACCCATTTCAACACAACTGTTCCCCGATATAAGTGATCAGATGTCTTTTATTCTCTGTAGATGCAGCTACTAAAGTTAATTGTTGATTAATTCTTATAATCTTATGATAAACGTGATATGTTGTTGTTGTTGTCGTTGTCTCAGGCCGCTCCAGATCCAGGAGTTCTGCTTTCATCCAGGCAGCTGTTCAGGACGTCAGGACACATGATGGTGATGGTGAAACCCAGACCGTGAGCCAAGAGCTTGATGGATTTCTCGCACCTCTGCCTTCCCTGTTGGCCAAATCTGTGTCCACAGATCAGGGTAACAGGAAGAGGAAGCGGCAGAGCGGCAGCCAGCAAACACCAGAAGATGAACGTCCGTCCACCTCATCTAGAAGAGCTCTCAAACGCTCTCGCAGAGGTCAGAATGGCTTATTGAAGAAGTGATGATGATGTTTCAGTAATGCTCTTTTACAGTTTTCTCTACTGCTGCATGTTTTCTTTGAACACACATTTCTACTGCTCCTCTGTGTTGCAGACGCGTATGCAAAGGGCCCACTGCTGGGAGACGGTGGATTTGGCTCTGTGTTTGCTGGGATGCGCAGGTCTGATGGACTGCCAGTAAGTCGTTTTCTCCGCTCTTCATTCAAACAGCCTTTAGAAATCCTGATCTCAGTAAATGTGATGTGTGAGGATCAGGCAGGTGTGATTTATTATGCTTTATCTGTCTACAGGTCGCCATCAAGTATGTGTCTAAAGAGCGGACACAGAGGAGACTGAGAGTTGTGAGTTCAGTGTGAACCTGTTGTTGTGTTTGATGTTTCATTGGGTTCTGAATCCAATCGTTTGTCCTGCAGGAAGGTCAGGGTCGGCTGCCGCTGGAGGTGGCACTGATGACCCGCGTCAATTCAGCTCCTGCCTGCCCCAACGTCCTGCAGCTGCTAGACTGGTTTGACCGTCCCAGACGCTACATCCTGATCCTGGAGCGTCCGGATCCCTGCCAAGACCTCCAGAGCTACTGTGAGGAGAACGACTGTCTGGATGAGGGTCTGGCCAAGAAAGTGCTGGTGCAGCTGATCGCGGCTCTGAAACACTGCGAGAGCCGCGGAGTCCTGCACATCAAGGACATCAAGCTGCTGGACTTCGGCTGTGGAGATCTGCTCAAGCGCTCGGCCTACAAATACTTCGCAGGTGGGTTTGTGTTGCAGAAGGAAACACTCTGTGGATGTTTGTGAGCTTTTGATGATCCACCAAAGGGAATTTGTGTGTGCTGGAGTGTTTTGAACGGGTGTTTGTGTCTCCTTGTGTCTCTCAGGAACTATTCAATACGCTCCACCTGAGTGGTTCTGCAGACAGCGCTACCATGCGGGTCCAGCTACGGTGTGGTCAGTAGGAGTGACCCTCTTCAACATCCTGTGCAACCGTTTCCCCTTCGGAGGCTCACTGAGGGTCACGTCCAGGAGCAAACTGACCTTCCCCATAACTCTGTCAACAGGTAAGAGACTCACTGAGAGATCAGCAGAAGTGTGTTGCTCTGTGTTTCTGAACACGGTGTTGTGTGTATCAGAGTGCCGTCAGCTGATTGGCTGGTGTCTCAGTCCAGCGGCGGCTGATCGGCCCAGTTTGGACGATATTGAGCGCCATCCCTGGTTACAGTGAACAGGTGGCCAGTGACTTGACACTTATCTGAGTGACGCACTCATGGCTTTGATTGTGTTGTTAGGGTCAGTCTGGATTAATGATCTTAATGATTTGTGTAGGGTGAGCAGGAGTCACACAGGAAGTGCAGAGAACTGCTTCCTGATCACCTGCAGAATGAGGAGTGGGCATTAACTAATGGCCGACTCACCCAGGGCCGGGGCCCCTTTACCTGCACTAAGCCACCGCTTCAGATGAATTTAATGTTAATAGGGATTTTAATAATAAACGTATTATTTAGACAAATAATCCAGGTGTAGTGTCTTCCTAGAGTGACTGGAGAGAGCTCAAATAAAGGGAGAGTTCACACAGAAATCCAGATTTACTCACTGTTTACTCAAACTCAAGCGGTTTCAAATCTTTAAGAGTTTCTTGTTTTCTGTTTTGCACAAAATAAAATGTTTTGAAGAAGCTGAAAACCTGTAACCGTTGACTTTCATAGTAGCAAAAACAAACAAGTCAATGGGTACAGCTTTTCAGCTTTCTTCAAAATATCTTCTTTTGTATTGAACAGAATAAAGAAACTCAAACAGGTTTGGAGCAAGTGAAAGGGAGTTAATGATACAGAATTGTTATTTTGGGGTGAACTATCCATTTAAGTCCTCTTAATGGAGGTTTTCATAATGGTTTTAAAATGAAGATTGCAGCTCTACTGACTGAGGCTAAAGGTGTGATGAAATATTGTTTTGGTTGTTATTCCATTAAATGATCTTATAGATCTATGATATATAAGTTTTGGTGGAGTTGTTGTGGTAATTTGCCCACAGTAGCAGTAAAACCTCTGAAATGGTGTACACATCTGATGATCTAAGACCTAGTTTTTTGTTTTTTTAATATTAGGAATGTTCAGAGCTCTGTTAGATGTACATTTGCATTCTACATTTCTGTTGTTGTAGCAGGGAGATGTTTGTTTTGTGGCATGAAAAGAGTTTAAGAACTTCAGTTTTAGCTGGGAGTACTACTGCATATGCACTCATGTGATTGGCTTAAATTATATTAAACTGAGAGACCCAGAAACAACACTGAGTCCTTTCTGAGACTGCAAGTCAAATATTCTGAAAAAACATTTAACCTTTCTTAAATGTATTTACATTTTTTAATCATTAAAAACTTACAATATTAGAATCAATGAAAATAGGATGCAGATGCCAGAACATTGTCATTAACACTCTTTTGAATCATATTTCTACTAAAGAACAATGACTTTAGTTTACTCTACTTTACATTCTGCTGGTTCTGACATCAGAATAAATACTGAAGTCTGAACTCTGAGCCTTTTTCATTCCTCTGCCTTTGTTGCTGTGTGGAAGGCATGTCTAATGAAGCATAACACACTTCATCACCAGCCTGAAACAGAATATATTTAATTACATTAATAAACAAATAAATAAATACCATTATATTATATTATATTATATTATATTATATTATATTATATTATATTATATTATATTATATTATATTATATTATATTATATTATAGTGTATTATATTATATTGATGTAATTTATGTTGCTGCCAAACAAGTGCAAATAAAATATATATACAAATTATGCTCAAAATGTGCTCATACCTCAACATGTCTGTTCTCAGCTCCAGAACCTACAGCAAATTAACAAACCATAAGAATAATTTACATTTGGTTTATTATATAAAACTCTAAGTTTATGAAAGACCGTCTAGTTTGGGATTAAATGTTCAGGAGTAAACAATGACCTGTAGTTTTCTTCTGACAGAGGCAGTAGACGCAGATGGAGAAGAGGAGAACACACACCGAACACACACTGAACAGCAGATTCCAGCAGAAAACACACTCTGATGCAGGTGATGTGGAGGTGCTGTTAAACCGTTCAGCACAAGGAGACTCTTGCTCTAAAATGAACAACAGGCCATTATTAAAGTGAATATATATTTAGTTATTATATTCATTTTATTTTATCTTTACTGATTACACACAATAATGAAAAATATGAGTTTAACACGGATGAATTTGCTAAAAGTGGTTGGAAAATCAGAAGTTAAAGATTCTAATATTAAATACACTATAAATCATCGTTTTACAAAATATAATGAATTTGCTGTTAATTTAATTTAAAATATTATTAGAAACTAAGATACACTTTAAAAACTAATTATAAACACTTATTTTACCAATATATTTTATAAAATATACATTATTTCTCTATCTGAAGTTGGACTATGGACTATGCAGGATTGTGTCGCTTAGTTATTTGCAGAACTTTGCATTAATCATTGTTATAATTTGTTCAAATAATATTAAAATAATAAAGCTTTAGATAAACATGTAAACTTTTCATTAAAGCACAGCTATATTATGAAGAGATAAACTATAATTGACACTATTATTATAATAAATGACACTATAATTTACACTGTAGATGTTTGCATGTCTCTTCATCAGCTGTATTAGAAACACATTTAAAGGATCTGACTACACAAAGCAAAGCAATGAAAACAGCAGTTGTTTCTCACCCAGGACAGACAGTCTGCTCGTCTTGTTTCCATATTCATACTCAATGTTTGGTTTGATTCCTCGTTCATCTTTATATATTTTTGTTTCTCTTTTCCCACAGTAGTAAAGTCCCTCATCAGAGACACTGACATTCTCTATATGCAGATCATAGGAGTTACTGGAGCTGTTGGGCACAAAACTGAAGCGTGGAAACGTCTCCTTGAAGAGTGTTGAGCGATCTATTGACAGAGATGGCTGATTCTCATGTGAGCAGTTTCTCATCCAAATAATGTCTGATCCAGAAGGTAAAGCGCAGTAGAGAGTGACGCTTTCTCCTGGTTTAACTCTCATGTCCACTTCTGTCCCAAACACTTTCTGCTCTTCACACAACCAAACACCTGCAGAACAAACGCAAGAGTGTGTGTTAAATCTCTAGCACATCATCAAGAATACATCATGACATTCAAACACAGAAATATTGACTCACACAGAAGTATGATGACTGTAAGTCTCGCTCGCCCCATCTCAGAGACTGTGAATGTGAGGGTCTTCAGCTGCAGTGTGAAGGTCCGCTTCATTGTGGTGGGAGGGATCTCTGTGGAAGAGCTCTGAATCTTTATGCTGTTGTTTTGTTTTTACGATTATAATCTGGTCTGTTTCCTCTCATCTGCTCCTTTAAACACACTTTAAAAGCTCTTTTAGATGTTCAAGTTTAATAATAAAATGCAAGAGTGAACTCAGTTTCATAAATTGTTGTGACTTTTGTTTTGGACGATGTGATGTTTAATGTTGTAATGGAGATGACCTGAAGTGTTGAGCGTCTTCATGAGTTTCTTGTTTGGCATCGTTCATCTACATGCTGATTGTTTTCTTTGGCTTCTAAACCTCCAGAATGAATGTCTTTACTCAAGGTTTCTTTTGCTCTTGGTCTTTAAAAGTTGCTAGAAACTTATTTTTGCTTTTGTCTGTGACCGCAAAGCTTTCCATTCCATTTGTGCACTCCATACAAGCTCAAGTCACAACTAGTGCACTGACACAATCACGAGGCTGTGGTTTCCTGTCTCAGCTTGTCTAAAAATCCCATGGTGAAACAAGAGCGATCAAGATCACTTTTATTATATCAGTTTAATTTGATTGATTGATTGATTGATTGATAAAGTGTTTGTGCTAGTATGGTGGGCCTGGTGATAATCTACAGACACTTTACTGTTAAATTAATAATGTGTATCAGAGTTGCAGTGTGTATTTGATCAGTGTGGATTTGACATGAAATGTGAAATTTACTAAATTGTAAACTCATAATCCGAAAGTGAAAATATCAAATATATATTTTTAACTTGATCAAAACTCATAAATACAGAGACGTAAGCATTCACAAGAGGACAGTGACAAAGGCCACTGGAAACATTTGTGGTTTGGGTCGTACCCTAGAAAAACAAAGAGCAGGCTGGACTCTCTCCATCACCATAACCAGCACTTCAGTCACACATGAAAAGCGCTTCTCACATCCTGTGGCATTTAACAGTCAAACTCTTGCACTAAATGACTACAGTATATATATATATATAGGACAGATGGAAACAGGATTTCTTGGGCAGAATCTTGACAACATTAATGCTTGCTCTTGCTCATCACTTATGATCAAGTAGACTGGGTGAAATATTAGGCTATTATTGTATTTAGTACTGCTCATCTGTATATTTTACACATTATAAATTTGATTTGTCACAGTTTCAAGCCGTTTACATCATAAACAACAGCAGAACTTTGTGTACCAGTTTGAGCTTGAACATGTTTGTGTTTACAGTAACTTTTATTATTTGTTATTATGAGCACAATCCCATCAGTTTATGAATGAAGTAAAGTCCTAATCCAATTTTACTTAAATCTGAAGACATCATATGTGTAGTTTATTGCTGGTGTTTGTTTTGTTTTTGTTGAATAAAAAAAACAATAAATCTGTAAAGAAGTGGTCAGACTTTTTATTTCTAATACAGAAACAATCATAAAAACTATCTTCATCTTATAAACTGGATGGTCAAGGCAACCCAGATGGACAAGTGGTCTTGACAAGTGGTCTTGATGTCACTTCAGCTATTAGCCACTAGATGGAGCCATTGTTTGTTCATGACTCTCTCTTTAAGCTTTATTCATGTTCACAGACGCTGATAACTATTAAATATGTTGTGTTAATATTTGAAACATAAGTGATCATTCATGAGTGAACATTTACACTACTAATTTATTTTGAGATATGCAGATGATCTGCAGATACAAACATACACAGCCTTGTGCTGTTATTAATAATCTGCTTTTCTTAATAATTTTTGAAACATTAATATTGTCAAAAATAAAATGTTAAACCCTAAATAATCTGTGGATCACACTATTCATTTAAAAAAAAACATTTGATTGTAATAGATAATGTGCTGTCAGAAATAAGACAGAAAGTAGACTAAGAGCAGTTCATGTGTCAGATGTTGGTGTAGGGATGTTTAGATGTCAGTCGTCTATAAGAGACTTCAGTGTGGACGCAGATCTTTCCAGTCTTACTCGCCTCACACTGATGTTTCTCCACACAATCTGCCTGAAATGATTGACAAGGAGAGAATGGATCAAATAAACTACTGAAAAACCACATCAGTCCACAATTCATCTTTGATATGGTCAATAAAAGAGTATAAAATAGTTACCATCAAAACATTTGCTTTAAGAATCTCAGCACTCATGTCAGAACCTAAAACACACACAAAATGAACCCGATTAATATACTGTAGTAATTTATAGTAAATACTGTGGTGTTTTTGAACTATGCTATAGTAAAGGACTTGAATTAATCTGTTGTGGTAATTCTATAGTTTCTGTGGTAATGCAGCAGCTATAGTAATGTAAACAAACCAACACTGTACTTAATACCACTTTACATCACAGTTTACTGTAGTAAAAACCAAAGTATACTACAGTATTTGTCTCAGTTCATCAGTTCAGTAGTTAATACTATATTCTGCTGCAGCATTCATTAACTGTTTAGTAAATACTATAATATACAGTACAGTATAATACAATTTACTGTAGAATGGGTCAAAAACACTCCAGTATTTGCTATAAATTACTGTATTTTCTCATGTGAAAAGTCTAATAATTACGATTAGAGTCAAAATGTTAAAATCTAAAAGAACAAATCTTTTAAAAAGCTCTACAGATTCACAGATTTGTTCAAAATGAATGTAAATGTGTCGATGAGCTCTACCTGTAGTTTGAGGACGACAGAAGCAGTAAACACAGATGGAGGACAGGAGTGAGGAGAGGAGAACACACACCGGACACACACTCAACAGCAGCGTCCAGCAGAACACACACTCTGACACTGGAGGAGAAGTGGAGGCGATGGTGGACTCATGTGCAGAAACTGCTGATAAATAAAACACACAAGACTGAATAAACAAATGAAGAGTTTCTGAAGCGTCCATAACATTTAACTTTAACAACATTACAAAGTGTGAAACACTATTACAAAGCTCGAGACAAATTTACATTTTGGAAAACATTTTTACTTATCATAAGACACAATTACATAGGAAAAACGATTTTAACAAGGACGAAACAAATTTACAAGACGCAAAACACTTTTAAAAATCCCCCCCAAAATATTACAATTAGTTTCCTTACGGAAAGGGAATCTACCACACACCGGAAATGACGCAGAATGTACCACACACCGGAAGTGACAAGTGATACGTGTTGTTGTCGTTGGTGGTTAGCGCGGTAAATTCGTGTTGTGGAGTAATAAAAGTTTGTGGTGGCCGAACATAAACTGCGGTCGAGGAATGTTTTGCCCGTTTTGTGGCAAACACATGAGCAGCTTAGCTTAACGTGGTGTTGTTTTACGTGCGGTCGATGTTTGGAGTTTTTAAAGGACGCAGACCAGACGGAAACACCTGGGAGGTCTCGACCGCCGGACCTTGCCAAGCAAGGTAAGTTGATACTTGTTATTTTTTTAGTGTAGCAAAACGCTAGCTGTCTGAAGCCATGTGAATACAAATCAGTAGTGCTAATAATGATTTTAGCGGCTTATATCTTTCTGCTTTGAAACGGAGCTCTGTCCTCTTCAGCAGAACAACAAAGCCCATCGCACAAACATTTCATGGAGTACAAAAGCTCGAAGTCAAAAGATCGGCAATCTTTTAACGATGGGCCAAAAGGAAAACACAAGCCTAAAGAAAGAAAACAAGTCCAGGTAAGTTGTGTTGACCATCCTATACAGTTATGTAATGCTCTCTATATGCGTGTTTGTATGTGTATATTTATTTTACCTATGATAACGTTACATTAATTAAATAGCTTTGTTATTTTACTAGGTAAATGTAGGAGTGATGGTG